CCTCCACAACTGGAATTTATGGTGGTCTTGGACTGCCGCTCAGAAGTGCACTGCCTGGTTTTGGAGTCACCTGGTCTGTCACTCTGAGAGCCCACAAGCTGGTGTTTCACAGTAACTCCTTACAGAAAATTGTTCATTTATTTATTTTATGCTCTTTCTTTGTTTAACAAAACAGTTCTATTGCAAAGAATTATCCCACCAGCAACCATCAGACAGAGATCTGCACTTGCAGCAGCACAAATCACATTCTTCAGTTTTGCACTTTGTAAACTAAAACAGCTATCTTTGATTTCAAGAAGTTAAATTTTCCACCATTTCACATACTTTCTTTCTGTTTTACAGAAAAATACAAGAAATCAGAAAGCAGTTCCACTACTATCAGATCTATGGTCTCCTTATGACTGATGCAGAAAAAGCCAATACACACATACAGAGCTTTCAAGTTACAGCGGCTTCCACACTGCCAGGCTAAGAACAGTTTTGCAAAAGAGTTGGGAAGGTCAGATGTTCTCTCATCATAAACAGTCCTAGAACAAATCCAGGCAGAGAGGCAGGAGGAGCACACATGCAGGAAATCTAACTTGCAGAGGGCATAGGTTGAATGCACTGTAGCATCAGTACGCCTGAGGACTATGGAGCCACAGAAAAGACCACAAAAGTTTATGAATTAAGGTGATCAAGACCTCCATTGTGTTTACAAGCAGGCCGTCATCAGAGCTACATAGGCATTGGCTTCTAAGTATGTATTACGGCACATAAAAACAGCGACCAGCAGGGAAAACACATTTCTAGTTTTGTCTCAAGGGTTACAAGTTTCAGAAGGGTGTACAACTGCTTTCCACTATTTTGTAAAAAAATGTTAATAATTTGGAACTAGGCCACTCTGGACATTAACAGCTCATGACAAAGAGCAGACCTGAAATCAAGTGGTATGCACAAAATGGAGTGAAATATTTTTAATGTTACTCAGAAAAACTATGCAGTTATTCATCATTAATACTTTTTTTTTTTGTGGTTTATCCATTGCATATTTTCATTATACTTTTCATATACACTATACAAAACTTGAATAATTTTGATTCAGGGAAAAACCTTATCAACTCCTAACCCTTTCTCTCTGGATGCCTTTTATAAGGGCCACGAATACTGTTGGTCTACATAAGCTAACTATGTCATCATTAAATTAATTAAAAATTTTATAGAACTGTACTCTCTAACCTAAAGAAGGATAATTTTTTTTGCTTTTCAGCATTTTGAAATACCAAATCCCTTTACATTAACTATTTTGTGATATCCAAAGCTTACGTATAATTCATTCTAACAGAGCAGTTAAAGAACAGGCTGCGTCAGCCTTTTAACATTTGCTATAGGAGCATGACTTCATTCTAGTGTTTCCTTTTCAGGACCTTTTTTAGTGGGGGGAAGTTTGTAATATATAAAAAGGTGGCTGTTCATGAAATAGTGTTCTGGATAAAAAAGTTAGCAGTTTGTGAAGGAAACCCCAAAAACATAGCCTAGTCTTTGAGTCTTTAACTTCCACATGGCGGTTCTGTTAAATATCTCATCTTTTTTAGTTCTTTCCAATTTTGTACGTCTATGAAAGTTTCAAAAGTGGTTTTCCTACTTCACATAGGAAAATAAAGATTATTCAACAGCACTCCCCCACTTCCAAGGAGGCCAATGCAGAGTTTGTACTAGTTCCAAAGTTAGGGTTTTCCAGTAAGAAATGTAGGATGTGATCTATGTTTGCCATATAAATGCATTATTTCCAACCTGAATACAAAATCTCTGTTGCCACCTTGTTGATCTAATTCAAGATATTAGGACATAGCACAATCTTTGCATTGAGAACTGCTGCAACTCTGTGGAAATGTTGCCTCATTCCCACTATTGCAGAATGAACATCCTTCAACTTGGGAAGATTTAACTGTGAGGAAAAATGTCTATTCTAGTGCCTCTAACAGCTTGTTTTCCCTACTTTTTTTCTTCATATTACTTTCATGAAATAAAAGTAACTTTTTCTTTGGAGCTTTGCAAGTCATACTTTGGTTAGCAGTAACAGACTGCTCAAGAAAAGCTACAAGAAAGTCACTGAAACTAGATTTTCTTAAGATATGGTAGACATACAACAGCCTGGGTATGGTATGCCCGTGCAAGGTTTCAAAAATAAATTGGATGCACAGGCAATTTATAGTTCTGTAACAACATGCATATGTGAAATGTGTGCAGTTTAGAGACACCAATATTTGATTTGTGAACATTCTCAAGACTTTACCTTCACAAAGAAATTCCCACCAGTCATGATGCCTGTAAGAGTTACTACATGAAAATAGCCCCACTGTACCCTGGACCAATTGTGCTTTCTATGTGTATAAATAAACTTAACCTTTATTCTTCTGTGAACTTTTTGGGGGCTGCTACAATGCAAATGCGCATCTTTAAAATGATAACTTTGTTCTGCACCAGTGTGATGACCGACCGGCACTATAGTCTATGAGCATGGGCACCACTATTAGGCTTTTAAGACCCTCTTTTGGTCACCATGACCTCCACTAAAATGTTCCTCTTTTAGCCTCTGCCGTCTCACAGTTTGCAAGACAGAGTGAAGGCAGATCACTGATTAGGTGCCAAGACTAATTATCTCACTTGTGAAAAGGATAAGGTTGACTCTCCCTAGGGTAAAGAAAACAGAGTGAAATGGTGATGTTTCCTACCAACCTTTCATTCCATAGCCTCCTCCCCATTTCCCTCTCAGCATGCCTGTATCTCAGCTGCCGATGCCATGTCAACTCCAGACTGATAAAATAGAGTGATGGGGGAAAAATGACCCTTGGAGATGAAGCAGAGATAGGGTTGGGCCGGGTAAAGGATGGGAGAGGACGTTAAGGCCGTTGAGGGACAGCAGTTGGGTGGCCACAGAGTGTCCCCAGGCGAGCAGCTACTCCAGGATAGATGCAAGTGGGCTGGGGGGCCTGTGTGCTCCTGAGCGGACTCCCACCTCAGGGCAGAGTAGTACTGAAGCCACTGTGCTGTGATGTGTTTACTGTGGGGGGTGTATATCAAACCACAGGGTACACAAGTATCTGGGAGCTGTTCCTGGTTACAACATCTGGTGTAGAGTGCTGTTGGCCCTAAACTGGCCTGCGTGTCTATGCATTTGTTCACTTACACGTGTGTGTGTGTGTGTGTGTGTGTGTGTGTGTGTGTGTGTGTGGAATCCACTGTCACACACAAGAGGTTATTATGCTCAGGTATTATGTGTCTGCATGCACATACCTATACACAGCAGCATGTCAAAATCTCATAAGCTCTTGGGTATCTTCATGTATATGTGTGATGAGGGTTTGTTGAATGGTTATCTGCAAAGACTGTGCATATTTAAATATCAGTTTGTGTATTCACTGTGTGAATATCACTTAGTGTATCTGAGTGTACACTCAGGTCTATTTTTATGTCTGACTAGTTCAAGGAAGCAGCTTTGATTGTAAAGAGAGTAAGTAAGAGATGCAGAGTTTGCAAATTTCATGATAGAGCGTGGATAGAAAAATGCCTTTGGTCAAGGTTAGAGAAGCATGTTGCCCATATCACAGACAAAGGAGAAAACATGCTTGTCTGTTCAGGATTAATCAGTATAATACTGCCTGTATTACTGAGAGAATGTTCTGTGAAAATTTTATTTAAAAGTATAGATGTCACGTGTAGCCTTTACTTGTCTGTCACATACAGCTACTATGCCAGACTAATGTGCACATTTGTATATTTTCATACAGCAGCACGTGTCTCTTCTGCAGTGCTTTGCTTTGCTATCTTAGTATATATGACTGCATATTTCTAGTCGAGGAGCATGTAGAACAATTGGGATGTACAGACCCTTTTCATGTATTGGTTTATGTTTTGCAGAACTGATCTTGCAAAGAATTGATTGTCATTGCTCACTGACAGAAGGTAAAAATGAAAGATAGGTTATTTTGATGATTAACTACTAATATGATATATTTCTACCTGCCAGTTGTCTCCAGTGTCAGTAGTTAGCATCATCTCCTTAGCGTCTTTAAAGAATGGGAATTAATGCCACGTTTTGTACCACCATCTGATTTGAAGGATTTGAAGAAAGCCTTCATTTAAAATTTTAATCTTTAGCAACAATTTTACATGAAATGTGAAACAAGCATGAGGGTAAGAGCTCTCATATTGTCTTCTATGCCTCAATCTGTGATCTGAAGGGAACAGTTTTGGTGAGTGTATCAGGACAGTTCAAACCCTGGACATATTTGCTGGTTGATTTCTCAAATAACAGTACCAGAGGAGTCACAATCATCGAGGCATTTTCCCTGATGCAAAGACCACTATCTTAACCAATAACTCTAGAAACTCAAGCTGCTCATGCTGAAGTCATGATCTATCCACATATGTATCTCAACTGAGATCATTGTTCTGTCCAGTTCACAGTTAATTGTCTACCACAAATATATGAAGGACATTATTTATTAATGAAAGAATGATGACTGTATCAGGATTCAGGGAGTTTAGTTATGGGGCGCAGGTATGTCATTGCTTTTTATGTATCACAGCAGACAGGAAGACTGATTTGATGTTATTGGAGCTGAAGCTCTTTAATCAGTATTTTTCTGAAATGGTCCAGTGTTATAGCAGCTGTCATCCCATTAAAGTGCTTGTGGCTATTCTGAGCAGAATGATTATAAGCATGAAAAATTGTTGAGGTCAAAAGTTTTGTACTCCCTAACAGATTAAGATACTAAATTTTCTTCTGTTTCTTGTGCCATGTGGGTTTTGCAAACAAGTTGTATATTTCTGCACAGAATTCAAAAGTGGAGTATTAATTACCATCATTGTAGGGGCTTCAATTGACTCAAATGCTAAGGGAATCAGAAGGCCGCGATACTTTGAGAACCATAAAAATCAATTCTGTATGTCATATGGTCTTTTAAGAAACTTCAAAGTGCTTTGGATTTTAATATTTTTCCTATAATCACAGGATAATGGCAGGCAAGAAGAAAGAAATCCAGCTGCAGGTATAACTCTTAATCACTTAAACAATTTTAAAGGGAAATAGATGCTTTTTCTGCCTTCTTAGAATGTTAAAACGTTAATTAATTTTGTTTCAGACCATAATAAGCAATCAAAACCAGTGGGATGAAATGCTGCAGACAAAGGATATAGTAGGTACTAACGGTTAATATTTCCTTTTTATACTTTCATGGACATATGTGAAGGTTTTCATATTTATTGATTATCTTTGACAGATATTCTAGAAGACTAGACTAGTGCCATATCTTTCAAAGAAACGCTATAGTAATATATGTTTAAAACGTATATCATGGAGCCATTGAATCATAGAATTCTTTCCGTTGGAAAAGACTTTTAAGATCATGGATTACAATTTTGAATATCTTATATAATAAGTATCATATGATTGAGTATCTTATATGATAAATACTCATAAAAATCATATTTATCTAAATTTTATGTTTATATGCTGCTATAAACCAATGTTTTGAAAATATCTTTCCAATATGGTGTTCTTCATGGTAGGGAGTTGGACGCTTCTGAGTGCAAAATCTTGCAAAGACTAAATAATTACTGCAGCATTCTAGAGAGTGCATGTTCTATGACATGCATTATTCCCAGTTTTCAGTTCACTTAGTCCGATAACTGTCTCTCCTATGTCTTGTAGGGACTGATTTTGGTAAAAGGAACAAATCTGTAACAGGATCATATCTACAGAGGGACAGTAATAGGCAAAGACTCAGAGAAGTGAAAATCCTGTAGAATAAAGGTCTAGATAAGAATGAAAACCAAGAGTGGGAAAAGAAAAGGAGAAAATAAAAGGAAAAAGAATGAGAGAAAAGTTGCTATTTGGATTAATAATCTCAAATAATATTCTGAAGTAGGTTTCCAATGTCAAAAGTAATTGCAATTAAAGAGTGTGTATCCACTAATATATCCACTGAATCCATTGATGTATTCATTATACATTCATTGACTAGAAGAGGACTGAAAGTGAATGCCTTCCCAGTGCTGTTTCAACCCAAACATAAATGTCTCATTTTATAAGTTCCTCAAGTCATCTGTCTGTAATTCTAAACGATTACATTTTAGTAATAGATGTGTATCAAGCATGGTGTGGTCCTTGCAAAGCTGTGCTGAATTTATTCAGAAAACTAAGGAACGACTTCAGTGAAGACAATGTGCTACATTTTGCTGTGGTAAGGACACAAATCCTGTGTGTGACTATATTTACATCTGGATTTAAATATATCTTCTGATTTGCATATCCAGAACTTTCATTTTACTGTCTTTATACTGAATTGCCATAATTTTGGCCTAGTTGCTTTCCCTGCATATATCCTCATAAGACTTTGTCTAGAGGTAGATTAGAAATGGTAATAAATATGTAAGAAGCTATAATAATAAAAGAGTTGATATCTCACAACTTTTGTTTTCTTTGTGAGATTGCAGAAGTATTCAAAAGCCAAACTATATGACTTTTAGTTTTATGTCTCTATATTATGGACCATTGCATTTTAAATTCTTACATCCATGAAAAATCGGTGCATTGTTTTTTGCAAATGTTACCTGGTATTTCATTTTTAAGCAAACAAAAAGGGGGAAATTAGAAAAAAATCACAAAACTGTAGTAGTAAAAATATTTGTTTACACTAGCAGTACATATATACATGAGTGTATTATATCTCATATTTAAAGTAGATAAATTTGCTTCACAGACTCAGCTTATCCAATATATTGACCAAGTTCATCCTTTTTTATGTTAGTGAAAACTTAAAATTCCACGATGAAAGAACTTTTCAGAAAAAACATTAATTTTTTTATACAGTAAAAAAGCAGAGAGTCATGTTCAGAGGCTGTCTCACATGCTTTCATACAGTTGACCACATTTCACAAAAAATTAATACACTAGATAATCTCTTCCATCATGACTGCATGGGCTACTTCTTCATTTATAGATGTTATTATAACCTACATGAGAAAATGGTATCAAGAGAAGATATTTTTCCATTATTAATTGCTGTAATACAAAGGGAGGACAATCCCATGTTACCAAAACTGTTCTTTCTTCATCACTATAAGGACTGTTAGTTGCATTTAGGACTGCAGTTTGAGTTTGCAACACCAAAATATATATGAGTGGGGTTTTCCTGTGAGTAAAAAGGTTTCCTTTATATACGCATATGCATACACACTTATGTAAGCAAATAATTTTTTTTGTCTGACTTCAGGCAGAAGCTGACAGCATCAAAACTCTGAAACCATTTAGGAGGAGTTGTGAACCCGTGTTTCTTTTTAGTGTTGTAAGTACATCCCATCAGTTTCTTTTAATGTTCTGCCTACTTCTGCCTTAACTTTTTAATAGATTTTAAAATAGATGTGAAGCTGTATAAATCCTATCTTTACATTTTACATTATGTAGGATGGTACTCTCTGATGTTGTTTGCTTGAGCTGTTTCACATGTTTGTGTGCTGCACATACAGCCACAGAAGAATTGTGGTAGTCACTGTTTAGGTAGTTAGTGAGAAATACAGGTGAGTTTTCCAGGTTTGCCTTACATAAAGTGCCTACATGTGGTTACACTGAAATGATTATTTTATGCACGCTTTTCATCACAGAAAGAGAGTTTACATTTCCTGGCATTGTAAGATTTTTAAGATAACAAATAATGTTGTGTTTTCATTCTTGAGTAACCATAGCAACTAATCATATATTTATTATCTCCCACTGATGGACACAGAAAGCTGGTTCTCCTAGGACACAGCTCCAGGGCACTGCTCACTTGAGGAGAGGTGGGGATTGCTTTAACTTGAGGGTGCCAAGATTTGAATTTCCATAAGCAGGGACCAAGGATAATGATACTTTCAGGACACTTTCAGGTTTGAATCTAAATGCTGCCTAGAGATGTTAGCAGTATTTTGGGTCACCATTAGCTTCACTACTGCATCTGAATATGGTAGACAATGCACTGAAAAGTCCCACATGCACACAAAAAAAGACAGAAAACTCCATGTTACAGAAATTAAGAACAAGTAAAATCCATATTTGTATTTGCTTCCAACTGTATTATGAGTATTGAGCCTAAAAATAAACATGGAAAATTTGGTAAAGAAGGAAGCAAGGAATTAAATGCATGAAAAGTTTCATTCTGAAATAGAGGCAGTAGTAGCTTTGGTATTCCCTTCCTAAGACATAGGAAGTGATCCTATAGCTGAAAAAAAAATAGGAAGATATTGCATGTTTCAAAAATTTAAGTAAATGTGTAAATTAAGTGATGAAAACTCACTGAGAGTGTTATTTTCTCTTCTACAGCATGGTAAAATTCTTGCAATGGTGAAAGGTGTAAATGCCCCTCTAATAATCAAGACAGTAACAGAGCTAGTGCAAGAAGAGAGGGAAATTGCAGCTGGAGCAAAAGAACATGCTGAGGTACTCACAAACGAGATACTTATGCATAAATGTGCATTTTTATTACACTTACACTCTTTCTCTAAATGTCTACGATAGTGTTTAGATAATGTTTAATTTTTTGTATTTTTGTCCTAACAATAAACGATAATATATATGATGCACTTTTTTTTTAGAAATCAAGTAAAATTATCTCTGTTCTAAGACACTTCTAAGGATCATCTAGTCCAGCCCCTCCTGCCACAGGCTCACCTTTCACTAGATCAGTTGGCTCAAAGCCATGGGGATTGCTCCATACTCAATGATTCCAGTTTCCTACTAAAAACAAAGGCCATTCAACAAGTCTATTCCATCGTTTTTGACCCCTGACTTCCAGGTAACACGAGGATAGCTCAGTCTGACCTCAATAGCCTGCACTGTGAAAGATCCCACAGTTGGAATTCAGAGTAGTCGTGAAGCCTGGAAAGTTAATCCTCCCTTGTTGCTTGTTCACCTCAGAGCCCACAAATTTCTACTATTATTTCTACCTTATAAAAACCTAACAAATTTACAGGTTAGTCTAGCAATGTAAGAAATGGAGAGACAGATAAAATGCTCCTAGCTCATAAATGTTTTAGTAATCTTTTTTCTTTCAGGGCTAAGCATTTTTAATATATATGCATCATATGAAACAAAGACATGGGAAATAATCATGTCTCATTGCTTATTTTGTTAAAATGGAGATGAAATAACTCAGAGTAAAAAGGGCTTTTTAACAAACCGAAACTCAGTTAAGGAAAGTCAGACCAATCAAAGGTCCTTCTTAGAACTGCTTGTTTTCCAAGGTAGCAAATCCATTCTTACATTAAGATAAATATGTTGCAAAGATGTGACAGCTATGTTTGGTGACTTTACTTTTGCACTGATGATGTACTTTTACTCCATTTGCAATTACCTTAGGTAGAAGAACTCGTTTTTCAAGAAGAAGTTTCATCAGAAGGGTCTGCTGAGGAGACTGTAGAAGAGGGTAAATATATTTGATTTAGTTTAGAAATGTTAACAGAAAGAAAGAGAATAAATGTCTTTTGTTTAATAATTATCTATGTCTAGCACTAATAGACCTTCATTTGGTTGTGTTAATGAAATGCCATAATTGAGCTTTCTTCTGTAAGGAATCAATGTATTGCACTATCATAATCAATATTTTCACCCCCACACTGGGAACCTTCAGGCTTTAGACAGAAGTGATATGTGCTAGGGAATTTTCCTGTGTAAAGTTAAGGCCTGAAAGTCACTTCTAAGCAGTCCCTGTCTGAGCTGTGTATTTCTGTTGAGGTGGAATACTAAGATGGAGCCAACCTGAGAGGATTGGAAGAGTTAATCTGTGAATTAATGTCATGCCTTCTATCTCAGATTACTCTTTCACCAGATTAGATTTAATAACAGATTTAAAGAAGAACATAAATCCACAATAGTAGTATAAGCTTCCAAAAAGATTGAAAAATAAGCGCCATCCTGTTTAAAAGTCCTGTCTGTGATTTCTCTCAGGTTTTTCATTAGCTGAGACCCACAAATTTTCTACTTTTATTGTTACCTGTGGCTACTGAATGTTCCTACTGCTTCATCTATGGCAGAGAATGCTATTCTACAACCCTGAGATGAAACAAACTCCTCTATCCTCTCCTTCTTCTTGATCTTGTTTTTTTTTCCCTGTGAGAGACATTAGATCACACTCACGGCATCCCTTTTCCTTCCTCTTCATCTCTTCATGTTTTGCTTTTTTTTTTTTTTTTAATTGTATGGTTCAACTGACATATTCCTGACCTCAGCTTTAGCCTATATTTTTTCTCATAAACCCTATGAGACTTAGAAGTACAGTACTATCATTTAGTAATTATCTACAGACTTCACACTAATCCCCAGAACCTAAACATGATAGAAAATCAGAAAACAGAGCTTTAGCTCAGGTTCAGCTTCACATTAGAGGATGTCACAGACACTGTAATGTATTAACATTTGGTGGTAATATTTTCCTTAACACATGCAGTTCCTTAAGTGTTTCTAGTATCTGTAACATTATCACTATCTTAAATTCTACAGTTTTTGAGAGCTGATTGAATTACAGTCAAATGCTTAAATGTCAACTTCAGGTCTAGTAAAGATGATCCCCTTAATTTTGCTGAATGTATTACTTAGCACAATATTTTTTGCCTTTTTCAGAAGAAGTACTCACTTATTCTGTTGGAATTATAAAACCTGATGATGTCTTATCAGGACGTGTAGAAGAAATTAAAAAAAAGGTAGAGAGAATTTTAAAATAATAATTCATTCTATTCATTTAACAGACATAATAGCAAAATGTGAGGTTAAGTAGATCCTAATTTATGCCCAGGCTTCGGAACAGAATCTGACAAATCTTTTCTGCTAAGGATGATAAAAGTCCAATAATTTTTACCTGAAATAATGTGACATTCAAATTTATACTGTTGCTTTAATATTCTATGCTAGCAGAGGTTAGACATTGATTCATATTGCTTCTGTTACCAAAAAAAATAAATTGTCTCATAACAATATACATCAAGATCAAATTAGAAATTAGAAGAATTTTTAAAAGCGTTATGACAGGGACAGTGACCTTTGCAGGAAAGGGAATCTGAGTGCTATATATTGTTTCTGCAATTACCTTACCTTAGCTGGAAAGGAAGGAAGGAAGTTCAGAAAGGCAAAAAAAAAATAAGGCAGTGCTTGAAAACAATTTAGCTGGAGCAGCCACTACTTGGTTCATGAGATGTGTTTTCCAACACTGGTTCCACAGTTAGCCTTGTTGGGGCAGGCTGAAAACACTCAGAAGCACCACAGGGGCTTTTAAAGGGCTAAGTGCTGGCACACAGGTTAATATTGGTGTATCATCAGTACTGGGTTAGATATTGTCTTTGCTGTTGAAATATCAGTATATGGTACAAACCTCATACCAGTGGACCATGAACTTTGATGCAAGTCATGTGTGCATCACTCACAAATGCTTGCATTTAGTGCAGTAACCTAGTTTAAAACAAAAAAATCAAAAAGTAGGTTTCATTTTTCTTTATTTGCTGTTTCTAAAGCCAAGTAGTTTAGCCCAATATAACTGTTAACAAGCATATATTTATGCGACTACTATAGCTACAATATAATTTATAGTATCTTGCAACATGGGTTGCATGTTAACCACTCATAGTGATCCAAAGGAGTTTATTCAATGTGAAATAAAAGGGATTATTAATTATTGAATGAATGTACATTGAACTGCAATATATTTATTCTCAAACATTAACTTAGGGGTATTGTAATCTTGAATTTAGTGAAGTGCTTTGAAAGACTCGAAGTTCAGTTTAGGCAAAGATAGCAGTTATACTTCGAATATTTCCGAGAATTTAAAATTAACATAGCTTCCAAAACCAATCAATCTTTAGATTTACAATAACATATGATTTTGTATGGATCCATTTTCAAATGCCCATGAGTAATAACTGAATAATTGCAGATTAAAGAGGCAGGATTTGACATTAAAGCAGCAGAGGAGAGAATCCTTACTGAAGAGCAAATCAGAGTATTTTATGCTCGGAATAAAGAAGAGGTAAAAACAAACTAAAAACCTAAATGAAAGGAACAGGTAAAACATATAATTGTTACCAGATGTGCTTGCAAATCTCTGTACGGTAAATTTAATGTATATTGAAGAACTGCATTAATGTAGATTTAGTACATATAAAAAGAGACATTTTCTCTCCCTTTTCTTCCACAAACTTATATAAATATCACTATGTAGCAATTTAATATTCCAACCAAATTAAACTGACCTCCAATTAAATACTAGAAGATTTTGTTCTTCTTTCAGTTATCTAAATGTGCATGATCCTTAGACAAGGAGCTGAATTTATAACACTATTGATCAAAACAAAATTATATTGATTTTAAAACATCCTATGACAGGCCTAATGACCTTTGTAGGAAAGAAAATTAGGGTGCTGTATAGATTATTTCTGCAATTCCTCAACCTATGTCACAGTATCTGATGTATATTTTTTCCATTTTTCCAGCCAGAAAATAAGTGATACTACATATTATATATTTTTTTTATTCCTTTCCAGATTTTATCATGGAGTAGTTCTGGGAATAAACATGTGCACAGGCAGAGAGGGAAAGTATCTCAGTTAAAATGTATTTTTTTGTATCTTGTCCTATTTTAGGGGACAAAAATAGCTAGACAGATACAAAGTTCAAGAAAATAATTAAATTAGGCTGTCCACCATTAAATGGCAGTGGTCTAGCAAACTAGCAGCTGGATATGGCCATATTTTCCAGCAGTGTGATAGCTAAAATTAACTCTTCACAAGGATCTGAGAAAAAAAATGAAGTTGCTTAGCAAATATTTATACCTTCTGCTATATGTATAAGATAGACAGAGGCTGGAACTATATGCAGACAAATAATTTGACATTATTAGAGGGAGCAATGGAAGGGTTCACCTAATCTTAAGAAGGTGGGAAGGGGTCCCTGTGGCATTCCAAATGAATAAGAGTGAGATGAGATGGCTCCTACTAAAGTCAGAGAGAAAAAAGAAAACACATAGTAAGGAACCATGAAGATCTTGGTTTTAGGAAAACTGGGATTGTAGGTTAGATGGAGGCAGTTTTGAAACAGAGGTAAAAGTGACTCATCTTCATGGGAATAGCAGCCAATTTGAGACTAGTTAAACGTAGAGGTAGACGCGGGAAGAACAAAGACAAACAAAACACAATGTTTGATACATCACAGAATCATAAAATCACAGAATAGCTTGGATTGGAAGGGATCTTAGAGATCATCTGATTCCAAGGGTGGGGACACCTTCCACAAGGACAGGTTGCTCAGAGCCTCATGCAGCCTGGCCTTGAACAGGGCTCCAGGGATGAGGCATCTGCAACTTCTCTGGGCAACCTATTCCTATTTCTTACCACCTTCACAGTAAAGAATTTCTTCTGATCTAAATCTACTCTCTTTCAATGTAAATCCATCCTCCCTTGTCCTATCACTATATGCTCTTGTAAATATTCCCTCTCCATCTTTCTTGTAGGCTCCCTTCAAGTACACTGGAAGGCTACAATTAGGTGACCCCAGAGCCTTCTCCAGGCAGAACAATCCAAATTCTTTTAACCTTTCCTCATGGGAGAGGTGCTCCATCCCTCGAATTGCCTTGGTGGCCTCCTCTGGACTTGCTCCAACAGTTCCATGTCCTTCCTGTGCTGGGATCCCAGAGCTGGACGCAGGTGGGGTCTCACCAGAGCAGAGCAGAGAAGAGGGGCAGAATACCTTCCCTTGCTCTGCTGGCCACACTGCTTTGGATGCAGCCCAGGACACATTTGGCTTTCTGGGCAGCAAGTGCGCATTGATGGGTCATGTCCAGCCTCTCATCCACCAGCACTCCCAAGTCCTTTTCCCCAGGGCTATTCTCAATCTGTTCATCCCCCAGCCTCTGCTGATACCAGGGGTTGTCCTGACCCGGGTGCAGCACCTTGCATTTGATCTTGTTAATGCTCAATGCTCATGGGCCACCTCCTTGTGCATGTTCCTCTGGATGGCATACTGTCCTTTGGGTGTGTCAGCTTGGTGTCATTTGCAACTTGCTGAGGGTGCACTCAATCCCTTCACCTCTGTCATTTTTGAAGATACTAAACATCACTGATCCCCAATATGAATTCTGGGGGACACCACTTGTCACTGATGTCCATTGGTACTCTGAGCCTCTGACTACTACCACTACAGCTGGATGCAGCTGTCCAACCAACTCCTTATCTACCAAACAGCAACCAAAACCACTTCTCTCCACTTCAGAGAGAAGGATGTTGTGGGGCACCATGTCAAGGGCTTTACAGAAGTCCAAACAAATGACATTTGTAGCTCCGCCCTTGTCCACAATGAAGTCACTCCATTGTAGAAGGCCACTGGGTTGGTCAGGCAGGACTTGCCCTCGGTGAAGCCATGCTGGCAGTTCCAATTCACTTCTTTGTCCTCCATGAGCTTTAGCACAGCTTCTAGGAGGATCAGTTCCATGGTCTTCCCAGTCATAGAGGTGAGGCTGATAGGCCAGTAGTTCCTGGGGTCCTCCTTTCTACCTTTTTAAAAGATGCATACAATGTTTCCTTTTTTTTTTTTTTGTCATCTGGGTCTTCACCATGACTTTTTATATCTCGTGGCGAAAGGAAAACAACACTATTACACCATAGCAGATCCCTGCCAACATTACGACAGAAGAATAATAAAACTGCTATGAAATGTATGTTTCCAGAGAGCCCTGTGCATATTGAGAAGCCAATTATTTGGAATTCCTTAAGTTTAATTTTAAGCTGAAAAATAATTTTGTTAAAACATATTGATTCCTTTGTGCTCAGTGAACAATGTTATTCCTGATTTAATACTCCACAATCTTGCTGAATTCCTGGAGTCTGCCTTTTACAAGGGAATGGAGACTCAAGGTGATAGACATTCAGATTAAACTGGAAGCAAAAATTGTTTCTTTTTAATGATGAAGCTCCAGGAAGAAGATGCAGGACAGACAAAATTAACAGCTACACGTAGTTCTTCTAACATAAGCAAGAGTACTTTTGGAGCCACCACAGTATAAAGATACCCTTTATGCATAGTACTGAAATTTTTTTACACTTCACTCTGTTTCTTCCAAGTTTGTTCATTTTGGGAAACGGATTTAGAATATGCATAGATATGAAGATAATTGAAAGAGAAAAGCAGTGAATTGAAAACATATATGTGAATACTTCATTCTTTTATTACTAAAGGAAAAAACCATCATATGCAATGATGTGATGCTGACTGGTAAGGATTTAGTCAAATATTTAAAAGGAGACTAGATATCTCAAGAAAAAGGTGACATTAAAAAAAAAATTCAAACTCACAGCACAAGCTTCAAAAATTATTTTTCTGATGGAAATGTACTTTTATAGGATTGAAAGTTGAAATTGAAGAAGTAAAAAGCACATAGCAAAGCAAATGAAGGAAAAGCCTGCAAATGTCTTGCAAGTAATTCAGCGCTCTATATTTATAGTCAGCTACATGACTTTTCGTTTCAAAAATTATTCATGGAACTCTATTGCAGTTTCTTACGTCACACTACATGCTGTAGTACAAGCATAGCCAGTGATCACATTGAATTTCTAGGTCATTTTCTTCATTCTTGTCATTTGCATTTTAACCTGGAAGAATATCTAATACTCGTTTAAAGTAGTTATATGCCTTTCTTTATCTCAATTTGCTTTGTTTTTAGACATTTGATAATGTTGTATCAAATGATTGATCAAAAACTTCCCAAACGGTTTACCAGAGTTCTGAGGAATGTATGTCCATGCCAGTTTGAAACAGGAATGTATGAGTTACTTTAAAAGCATAATTGTCTCATTTCTAATGACAAATTCAGAATTCCTGCAATTCATAGTGGGGGGGAAATTATATTTTTTAGCCTGACTTTGACGCATTTGTTCAATTCATGATGAGTGGACCATGCCATGTTTTGATAATCACTAAAAAAGAAACAAGTGATGCTATTCCTCAATGGAAAGAACTACACAAAACAAGTGTGTCTGGTGAGCCTGAGGAGCCAGTTAAGTAAGTACCAGTGAAAATGTGTATCTGTGATTCAGTCACAGTGTTCAGAGCACACCATAAACCAAGGCATGTCCCTACAGACACATGCCCATGTGTGCAGGTCCAGGGACCAGGCTGAGTTGGTCGCCTAGTCCTTCACAGGACCACCACTAGAGATGCAACCTCTCAAGTTCTCACGGGAATTCAGAAATTCATTGCTTCCTAGTTAAAGATGACAAGCCGAGATCATAGATCTCTTTGAACTCACCTTCAATGAGTTCTCAGAACAACGGGAGCAATGATACACTTCAAAGCTGATGTAGTCCTTGCAATTCTAGTTCACCCATGCCCAGGGGGACTGCCAGCACTGCCGATTGCAGATTGCACTCTTTTCCATGTTTTCTCCTACGTTTCTTGGGAAGCTGTAGATATGGCCCAGGGCAGACCAGGGCACACCTGAGGCATGCTCTTCTCCCTGGGAACACTGTAAAAGCCAGCAGAGAAGGAGAAGGGTAGTGGGGTTTGTGTCCCCACTCTGCATAAAGATACAAAAAATTTGTAAGGATTAGCTGTTCAGAACCATGGTATCTTGAAATGTGTGTTTCTCTTCTATGCCAAGGGTTTGTAGAGAATTGTAAGGATGGTAGTTGTATACACAGACTCAGACAATAGAGTATTCACAAAAATTCAAGTATCGAATTAAGTTTTATATTTAGACAAGACATTTACTTAAAGCAACATGAGCTTAAACACTTTGTCCGGAAAAGAATTGACATTTTTGTCGATGCCTGCTGCATCCCTTTCTGCATTAGTTTAGTGTAGCTGGGGAATACTGCATATTCTACAACTGGCCAAGAGGGACTTTATTTACACAGCTAAACAAACAGGCAAGAAACAATGAGAAGTGTCTCTGTTATCAACAGCTCTGTAGTGCTGTCATTTTTATGATCATGTTGTGCATGAATTAAGCACAAGACTTCCAGTGACCATTCTTTATACCCTGTGTACTTGTCAATAGTAATTCTATCTCATGCAACAGAGAAACTATTTTGGATAAGCTAGAGGGGAATTGTTAAAGCAGCCTGGCTGAGACTTCTCCTTCAGAGCACATAATCAGGGACTTTTTGAGAAGATTAATAATTCTCTTCTCAGAAATGTTACTTTACTCATGAATATGAATTTAATAAAAACCTAGTTTTGCATTCTATTCTTATGTTTCGCTAAATTTTAAGAAAGTCTTCAAAAAGTCAGCTTGTTAACACTACACAGTGACTTAAATACTGCATGTTTCATCAGGTTGCCAGGACTCATGGAGACTGAGAGTCTGGTAAATTTATGTGATTTGCAAGATAGTGTTGAAGATGCCAGCAGACAACTTGCCTTCTTTTTCCCAAATTTTCATATAAACAAGGTAGAACAACACGTTGAAAGGACTTTGGCCATTATTAGACCTAGTCTCTTGAAGGAAAGGAGAGGTAAGTGTTAATAACTATATTTTCTATCAAGGGTATATAAATATTTTGAATTATAAAGTCTAACTCAATTAATGATAAATTTTTAAGTTGTACTGTCTCTCCACTGTTAGGCCAGCAGTAATCTTTGTCTGGAATGAAGTTATGAGGTTAATGATTTTAATATATTGAGAATGCAAATGTCAATGATATTTTGTTCCTTTGGTTAATTTTTCAAGAAACTCTGTAGATGAAATATTTCCAGAAGACCTCTCAGACAAGCTCATATTTTCAAACATAGTATAGGGGACAAGATTTCTCACCATAATAAAGCAGCTGATATTCTTGAATAGCAGGCTCAAGATAGATCAATGGCAAGGGGAAAAATATCCAATCCAAGATGCTCTATGTTACATGAGGCAATGCTGCTCAAGGGCAGTTCTAAACAATATTTTTACAGATGAAATTTAAAAATCCACCCCATTACATGAAGCTTCATCCAAACAAGTTTACTTTTCTTCTCAGTCATATATTTACATTTCTTCCTAGATTTCAGATAGTATTTTTAACTTGAGAATCCCTGTACTTGAGCAAACTTATGTGCAGAGAGCTGAAAGACTACAATCTTGATCTTTCCTTGTGAATTTATTTTCCTAATGGTTGTCTAGCATGTTGCTTAGAACAGCAGTTCTGCAGTTCATGTTTAGGTAATTACACACTAATTTTGTCGGTAATTTTGACTTGTGCCACATAGTGCTTACTTACCCATGTGGTCTTGTAAGACTTAGTTAAGTAAACATTTCACTTATTCAAATTCCTTAGACCTTCTTTTTCTTAGACCTTCTTTTTCTGGTAGTAACATGTATCATAGTTCTCAGTCAGGAATTCCTACTGAGGTTTTTTAACCAAGAGAATGCTTAAATACGATGAGGATCAGTTTTCTGAGTGTCCAGGCAGCTCGTGATGCCTCCTAGCAATTGCTTTAAATTAGTTTCCTGTTTTTCAGTTAGGAAACAAATTCACCCATAAAATATAACATTTTCATTGAAAAGTCCATGTCGTTTCTCTACAAGTGTGCAAATGAATGAATGAATGGCAATTTAGCATTATTTCAATATATTTACCAGATTCCATCATGAAAAGAATAAAGGATGACGGTTTCCAAATAGCAATGCAGAAAGAAATAATTCTCTCTGAGGAACAAGTACGTACATTTTACAAAGAACATGTAGATCAAGACTACTTCTCAGTCCTTCTAGAGCAAATGACCAGGTATGTTGAATGGAAAAGGAGAATGTAAATCTATAGAATCTCTATAGAATCAGATAAGACTGAAATTTTCACATTTAATAATTATTGAATCATAGATGCGCAGAATGGTTTGCCTTGGAAGGCATCATTATTGCCCATCTAGCTCCAACCCCCTGCCATGACACCTTCCACCTGAATAGGTTGCTAAGTGTCCCATCCTGGTGTTGAACACTTCCTGGATAATACATGGCAGTGAGATACACATGTATAAAAGTTTATTAGAAGACAAAACAGGAACAGATAACTGCAGATAACGGAATAATTTTCAAGAACAACAAATAAAAAAAACCCAAGCTTTTAAAAGTTACTACCTACTCCATATTGTTCTATGTATGATTCTCAGTGGCCAAGTCCACTGATTTGAATGAAAACAGTTTAGGTATGCTCTGAAAAGGCTGCATTTAGGTTGTTTGTAGGAGAGCTCTGAAATCTTCAACCAGGCTGTGTGCTGGATACCTTGAGGAAGAGAAATAAATCACTTTTGGATATTCCTTTCATATGATGTTGGGACATGGTTGTGGCATGATCAGTCTTTCTGTCTTGCCATTGTAACAAAATACAGTAACTTTACAATTTAAATTCATACTTAAGCCCCATAAGGTTTTATCAGCCTGTACCTTTTTAAATAATCATATCAGTTTTAAGGTCCTCCAATACTGGGGCTCATTTTCCTAGTCTGGGCTATATATAATCAAATTACTTTTTGAAAGTTCCAAGAGTTTGGGGTTTTTTTAAGTGTTACTTTTCCCCTTGTACAGTGGTCCAACTCTTGTATTGGCTCTAACACGAGAAAATGCTGTATCACACTGGAGAGATTTACTAGGCCCAAAGACTCTTGAAGAGGCTAATGAAAATCCAGAGAGGTAAAAATTGCAGAAGTAAATCATCATTCACAGCTTCCAACTTACTTTCACATTCCTCATCTAGTTCCACATTCCAATTAGTGTAACTATAGTGCCATCATCTGGAAACAGATACGCATTTCTGCAGTTTTTTAAGCTTTTCTTGGAAGTAGTAGTGTATTACACATAGAAACTGCAGCATTTTTTATATATAATGTATATATATGATATAATGGCTGCTAAACAGAATTAAAAGCTGAGTTTTAAAAATTGCAGTGAAGTGAAAGGGGAACCCTTGAGTGTGAGTCTGAGAAAAAATCTTGGCAATACCTATTCCTTATTGGATGGGGGTGGGGAGGGAGGAGAAGTGTGCTTGAAATACCACCATTATTTTTCTTGAAATACCACTACGATTTTCTTGTACCTTATTGAAAACTTTGCATCAGTAGAATATTTTATTTGTGACTAAGTTTCTCCTATACATTTTATAAACAGACACCTTAGTTCTACATGCTTACCACATTGCTCTAGGAAACTGCAATGGTATCATCTTACCTACTGCTGACAGAAGTGCCATTTCATTACGAAATAAGTGGTATAATTTGGAATATAAAAACATGGGTGTTAGGAGGGAGGATGTTCATATTTCAGATTTCCAGATCAACACTAATATATATTCCCTGGGTTAAGGCTAATTATAGTTCAGAGCTCAAAATGGCTATGCTTTTAAGTAACTTCACTCTTTTAATGACTCTCAGTTTGCGTGCACAGTATGCTATTGAAAATGTACCTATCAATCAGTTGCATGGAAGTTCTACACCCAGCGATGCTCAGAAGGAACTAGAGTTCTTCTTCCCTGAGGAACAAACCTTTGCACTAATCAAACCTGATGCTGCTAAGACTCATAAAGGTAAGGCATTTAGAAAGTATGGGCTACATCTAGTGATAAAATAATTTCTACAAAAGATTCTTCTGATTCCCTGAAGTACATTTTCTGTGCAGAGAAATGCTTTTACACTGCTTGCATAATTCAGATCGAGATCTGAAATGTGATATTTCTTTTGCTTAAGCTGTCTATAGGTCTTTCTTCACTAGAATAGTGGTGAATTGAAGAGAGTTCCTAGCTAAGTTAAACTGTTTAAGGGCCAGGCACTTCTGCAGACTACCTGCCCAGCACCTTTATTAGTCAAAGGAGAGAGACACTTGCCAAACTACTATTACTTATTTCAGACAGGTATTTCTACTGGCTCAAAAGGGGTCATTGCTGAGTTAGATGCATCCCCATTCTTGGTTTAACTTACGGTTAGTCCAAGGGAATAAGGAGAAAAAAATCAAAATAAAAAGAGCACTATGTACAATTCAGAATCTTGCCCTAAGGATGTTTGCTTCCACTCTTTAAAAACCCTCTATCTAGACTCCCTACTTAGCATTATTTTATTCTGTCTTAACAAATTTCGGTAGTCTTTCTAATGCTAATTCATCATTGGCTTCTGGGAGTCTATCTTCCCCTCTTGTGAAAATCCAGATTGATTTTGGCTGGCCAGGTGATGTTTGATACAGCATTACAACTACCGTCCACATTCTGTTCAATATGAGAAATAACAGTGAATGTTGTTGGCATAGTTTATTAAAATCTGGGTTTGATAAGTGCATCAAGACGGATAATGCAGTTGCAATGGTTTCTGCCTATTATAGAGGACTGTTGAAGTGTTTCTTATGTTGTTCATATTTGGTTTGATATTGCAAGAAGAATTCTAATAGTTATTGTTGATTTTTTTTAGAAAAAGGCATCTACTATTTTCTGAAACTTTTAAAGTTTGGGTGTATGGGGTTTGCATTTGTTGCATCTAAACCATTCCAATCAAAAATGAGCTTGTTTGTTATTCTCCTAGATGAAATAATGAAAAAAGTTAAAGAGGCTGGATTTAGCATCACAAAGGTAAAAGAACAAGCCTTAACTCGTGAAATGGCTGCACAGTTTTACAAGGATCATGAAGGAAAACCCTTTTTTGAACAGTTGGTGAATTGTATGACACAGTAAGTGATTTGGTTTACAGTACTGAGGTATGTAAGCAGGCATCACACTTTGTACAGTGCCAAAAAAACATGTTACACCATAACTGGTGCAAGGATTTTACAGCCTGTCACTCTTTCTGGCAAGTTTAGTGGCTTCTAGCACAGAATACTCTTCCTTTAAAAGGGAGATTTACAATTATTTTCAAACTTATGGGTAGTTTCATTTTGGATTTTATTTTCCCTAAAAAGAAACTGCTTTCCAACAGAATCCTTTTTCTCCTCATGCAGGACAAATATCTTCCTCATAATATTGTTAATATAGCTGATAAAAACAGTATGTATTGTCTTGCGTCAGAAATTATTGGGTGAGAATGTCTTTTGGACAAGAAGTCCAAATCCAAATATCTGATCATCATAATCTCTTTGGCTTTCAAATATGGGATTTTTCCTTAAACAAAACACGCAGAAACAAATTTTAATATTTATGCAGCTTAATAAAATTAAGATAGTTCAATGCTTATTAGAACACTTCATGGTAGCTCTGACATTAAAACTACGTCTGCATCTCAGAAATCTCAGAATAGTATAAAAGTTTCTCTATATTGATTTTACAGGGGTCCATCAGTAATAATGGTCTTATCAAAGGAAAATGCTGTGGAAGAGTGGAGGCAACTAATGGGTCCAACTGATCCAGAAGAGGCAAAGAAGACCTGTCCTGAATCAATTCGAGCTCAGTTTGCACATGATATTTTGTCTAATGCTGTTCATGGATCATCTAATATAGAACAAGCACTGAGAAGCATTCAGTTTGCATTTGGAGAGCTGGATGCAGACTAAACAATTAAGATACAGTCTCTGAAAATTGATATTCATGTAATTAGATGTGTTTGTCTACCCAACAACTATACTTAAGACTACATAAACACACGTATTTTTCGTCATAATCCATCCAATTTTAGCTGGAGAGTTTTTGTTATCAGCTCTTCCATATTGCAAAGCATATCAATGTAACAAGTAACGCCTGCTAGGAGTTTGACATTAGTAATGGTTTCTTTATGTATGTTTAGTAGATGTTTTTTCTTTTATCGTTTTAACAGATTTGTGCCTTTCCAATAGTTCCAGGATTCTAAGGTGGTTTGTGTATAGCTAGTCTAAAAAGAACAAGGAAGGACAAGGGTCAAGGAAGATGATTAAAACACTATTAATGGCACATATGCTGGTGATGTGGATCGAGTTCTGCAGTTCCAAATGTGAGCCAAATGAGGCTCCTGGGCCCACTGGCCAACTGTATATGTGTGCATCCCTGGTGAGACTGCTCTGGGCTATTGAGGTCTATTGGTTTCCTCAGGGCCCTGAAAAACATTTGCATTATTTATTTATCCTTTTCCTAAATAGCTTCTAATGATTACTGTCACAGGTAGGATAATAAACTAAAAGGTCCTTTCCAGTCCATTTACTTAATTCAAATATAACAGAAGAACTAAAATATAAAGCCAACTCTTAATAACAGCTATTCTTGACATGTACCTCCTTGCCAAAATAGTGAATTCATATCCTGTCCAGTCTAACTTGGCTGGCCTTCATGAAGAACACGAATATTATTCTGTAGCTGATGTATTCTCACTTCTGCTGTCCAAATCTGTTGAAGGTTGAGATTCTAAGGAATGACATTCACTTAAAGCAATTTACTTACATAGTTGATTTTAAGTGTAAAGTCTAGAAAGAATGAAGTCCTTCTCATACTTTCTTTATTGTTCCTAATGTATTTAATACAACTAGCTGCTATAAAGAGCTTCCTGACAAATATTTCTGTTGTGATGGGGCATTTGTCATTGTAGACATTTCTCCAGAAGAAGCTGGACTGAGCATTCTCCTAATGGCCCTTTTTCACCTACAGCTGTTTTTCTGCCACAAACTCAGCATGAGGTTCACTAGCCTATAGGAGGTTGTAATTAGTACAGAATTTATGTCACCTTAGTGAGGTGGGTTCTGAGAAACATACTTCAAGATTGCTGTATGTTCTTTGGCTTCTTTTTTTTTTACTTCAAAAACTCATTAAAACTGTTCTTCCTGGCATTATTTAAGCACCCTGGGTCTTTTGGGTCCTGGCATTTTGTACTTGAAACCAAGAAGCAGCCTCAGAAAAGAGTAGCTTGCTTAAGTACAGCAGTTTCACATACATCAATTCAGCTCATTTTTCAGATCTTTGCTGGAGTTAATAGCTTCTCAACTAGTGGGACAAATACAAAGTTGAAAGTTTAGGTGGGTTTATTTTTTGACAGGACCAGAAATGTTTAAAACAGCAAAATGCTTTTATGTCTTATTAAGAGTCCATAACACGTCCAGTGGAAGTTCACAATCAAAGAGCTTGATAAGTATCATACAGGGGTTATGAATACTGTGAATCACTTATTGCTCTGGATTGAGAAATTTCAGTTTGCTGTGAGGGTACTGTAGCTCTGCTTCTGCCTATTTAAGTATGGTAAAATTTTGCATACTGAGTATTTGCTCTTGCTTAACCATTATCCTTCATATTGCATCACATCATTCTTTAAAAATATAAGATTTTTGCCAGTTTGGTTTAACTATTGGATGTTGAAGGATTTTGTCTATTTGGGGTTTCATATTCATGTGTGTCAATTATAATCCGTGCTTTGTGCTTGGTTAAAGCAATCCAGTAGATTCCATTGAAATACTATGCATAGATCCATGATAGTTTTTTCTTCATGTTGCCTACATATACAAACCCCAACTGAAATGTGGGAACATTTCATTTATTAATGTCCATCTTCTTCTCTTAAACATGTTCTTGATCTTAAAGTCTTTTAGCAACTTTGGAAAGGAGAAATTTAACAGATACGTCTTAAGACATCAAACGTAACTGTTTCATTCAGATGATGAAGAGATTCAGATTTGCAAAGCTTTTATATCTTTGAGAAGCAGACTTTTGAACAATTTGTACAACAAAATATGCATTCAAAAGAATGGCATTCAAAATACTGTGAGTATTTTAAAAGATTGCTTTGTCTCTCTAAAAGTTTAACTCATCTTGTAGGTATTGCACACATTATTTATACTGCCATCCACTCTTCTTCGAAAATTGTATTACTGTGACATCGATAAGGATACAATTTTTAAGGATTTGAACATTTCTGGTGGGATCAGCAATCATTTGATTTATAGAGTCAGAAGGACTCTGCTCCAACGTAAACTCCATGGAGTCTCAGAGATTAAAATCTTCCTGCAATTAAATTTACACAAAACTGTGGCATATAAAACTTACAAAAATTCTCTGTCCATTTATCTCATATCTAAATGCCAATTCAAAAGAGAATGTGGCCTTTATGACTATTTATTTAGAAAACGTCTTGTAGTTCATTATAGAAGTAGGTGGTGCAAAAATTTGATTATAATTCTTCCAAGACTAACAAAAGATAACATAATTATTCTTCTGATTTTTGTCCCAGGAGTAAGAACCACAGGGCATGTTTATTTGTACTACAGATCACATATTTCCTTGTTTCATTAATGGAATGCACTATAGAATAGAGTAGCATATAGAATAGCTCTGGGCGAAAAAACAACCTAAGTGATCATTGCTGAGCTTTGAGCAACTGGTTAAAATATACAAAGGTCAGCAGTTGAATGTAGCTCTACTGGTAATTCTGGTCAGGTGCAGTACTGTGTTGACATGGAACACCTGCAGAACTAGATCTAAAATTCATTCCAGGTGCCAGGAATGTTGAGCATATATAGGATCTATTGACTTTAGTAGGAATGATGTGTTTGACACGTCTAAAAAAAAGACTAAAAACTTAGGTGCTTAAATACAGCCTAGAGGTGAAACCTTAATCGTATTCAGTGAAATGGAAAAACTGAAATAGAAATCAAAGGAGACAGAATTTCACTTGCAGGTGACTAATTTATGTGAGTTTGAAAATGCTGATCTAAAAGATCAGTATGATAGGAAAATTTCTAAAATAGTTTTATGTACTCTGTAGCAGGAATTCTTCAGCTCTGATTACCTATTTATTCAAACTTAAATACCTCAATAAATGTACATATGCTAGCCATTAAAGAATGAGCAACAGTCACATCAATGTGATGTTGAAATAACAAACACTGAAGTAGTGATATATCACTTAAAGAAATTTTATTGTGAACATAGTCAAATGTGGTGTTTGTTAAATGAAACTTTTGGAACAGCTACCTATACTCCACAGCAACATCACATATTATTTTACAACTATTAAAGTCAAACTTTTTTTTGTTTTATCAGGGGTAAAAATATAAAAATTATTTTCTCCTGAGACTTGTCACCATTCCTTCTCCAAGCTGCTGTCATTAGATTGACCATTCCGATACACTGGAATAGACATGGATGCACAAAGCCAGGTGTTTCCAAACTCCTTAACATTTTTATGTACACTTTATGCTGACTAACTTTCAATCTGATATGATAAAAATATGGAAGAAGGAGAGGCAATACAACAAAAAGCAGGGGATATCGTAATAGAAAGAATAGACATGCAAGGAATAAATTAATGTTAGTGTGTTTTTCCAAACCCATTTTTCCTATATTTTAAAAAGCCATGGGTCAATCCAATTCGGCACTAATGCAAGCCATTCCATTTTGAAAATCCCCTACAATTAACTCTCTGTAACATCAATTGCCAGCTGAATCCAGACCCAGAACATCCACACCCTCCAGCCACCTTCCCTTCCCTTCCCTTCCCTTCCCTTCCCTTCCCTTCCCTTCCCTTCCCTTGGCATGAAATAGGTGTTGGAGCAGTTGAGGGCTGTCTGAACAGGCAAATTCCTCTCCAGAGGGTCCACTCCCCACCTCTGCTCCCTGGCATGTGGCCAAAGGTCAGAGTCACCTCTTCTCGTGCATGTCCATGGCCAGGTGTA